TGCGACCATCCGCCCACGTCGACACCGCAGCTCCCTCACCAGCAATGTCTCATCTCCGATGAACTTCACGGCCATGGAGCCATCGTTCTCCGGCGGCATCAGCTACAATCCTCCCGCCACTGGGTCTCCCACCTTTGGCCCGACTTCTGCCTTTTTTAACATCAATAATGGAATGACCCTCCCGACCCTGTCGGGTCAGTCGGATAGCACACGGGGATACTCGGATGCGTCACTTGGAAATCCTCAGATGAGCCCTCGCGCCGACGCGCTTCTGCCGTCTGATCTTCTCGGGGACGAGGAGTCACCCGAACTTCCCCGTCCAGCCATCCGTTCTCGCTTTTCCAACCTTGAGCAGCCTAGCACTGCGCTAGAATTTTCCCATGGGCCACCTTCGCCGGACTCTGACGGAAGCAGGCCGGAAAGCCTCTTCGCCAGTCCGGAAAACCAGGCCCTTCCCAAAGACGTTGAATCGCAACCAGTGAACTTGGATGTAGGCGAGGCGCCGAAGAGTGCGTCGCGCAGGCTGTCGGGGCTCTTCGGCTTCCACCGTCCTCGCGGCAAGACACTGGCAGACGAGCCACCTCTATTGGGCAGTTTGAAACCAGGACAAAGTCAGTCGTTCCCCCGTAATCTGGAGGAGATGGATCCCATAGGGGCTAGACGTCGTCGGCTGAGCTATACAGGCAACTGGGCGAACCCGATGTCTTTGTTCCCCAGGAGCAACACAGCAGGTGTTACAACCGACAGCTCTTCCGACCATCTTCCCTCGCGTCGCGCAGCCATTTCCAGCATCTTCTCACCCAGCCGATTCGGATTTGGCGGCGGACATGGTCTGCTCAAGTCCAATGAACACTCCGATCAGAGCACAGGATACAATCAGTTCAGTCCTCGTCACGATCCTATCGATCCTGCTTCCATCTTGGGTACAGTACGCCGGGAGTCGTTGTCGCCACGGCCCTCATCGACCTTCTCTTTCGAAAACCAGCTACCCCATCCCTCTACCGACAACCGTCACTTCGGTTGGCCATCCGCAGAAAAGCAAGGCCACCGAAGTCCCCTTGGGTTTGACTGGACCTCCCCATCGACATGGTCTCGGGTGCAGTCGCGCCGGCCATCTACACAGTATGGCTCATCGGGTCACCTACCCTTAGGCCTTACTGGGGAGCCAGACTTTCTTCAGGATTCGTTTGAGAGACAAGGTCGGCCATTGCAGGCACCTATTGGAACGCGACCATCATCTTCTCACCGGCCAGTCACTCCAAAGTTGAACCCTGCTGCGCCTTCCTTCAGGACCATCTTTGGGAAGCGATCGGACAAGAGCAAAGAGAAGGAGATGGCGAGGGACAGAGAGTTAGATGCGCCGTTTGACTTCCACATGGAAGAAGGCTCTCCGTCTGAATCGCGCACCTCCCGAGATTCTCGCTCTCTTTCCATGTACACGGGTGACTCGTATGAATCCCTGGAACGTATGCCCTCCGCCGGCTCGCTGGATAATGGAAGCTCGAAAGAGTCATTCATTCGTAAGATCACCCGAAAGGGCAGTTCCAGCAAGTTCAGCTCCTGGAAGGACCGGTCAGGCCTCTTCTCCAAGAAGGGTGACCCTTCGCAAGGCGACATTGACGAGGACGCACATAGCGAGGCGATGCTTGCCAAGAGTGTGGACAGCACCGTGTCGAGCGCCCCTTCGGCAGACCGGTCAACTCGAAGCAGCATGGGATTCTTCAGTCGCATGTCCAGGAAGTCCGATAAGGCCGCCAGTGAGACGAGCGAGCGTCCCAGTGAACATTTCAGCGAGGCGGAGGATGAAGAGGCAGCGGAGGAGGTCCACACATGAACATACAGCATTCACTCTTTCTTTCTCATTTTCTTTAGGTCGCCATGTGGCGTTAGGCATTCTTTCAATTTTCTTAGCTAGTGACGGTAGAAGTCATTCTTGTGGCACATAGCATGCCTTTACTCTCTGACCTTGGTCCACTCCTCTGTATGTTTGCCATTGGCTGTAGTAATTAAAATAGACGACGGTTCTCGTCGAAAGCATATCACGTCGATGTAGATCGCACCAAATCAGGGATGCTGAGAGCAGGTAGGTGGTGGTGCAAAGCAGCACAACGCTGGCCGTGGAGGGACGGTTCGGTTCGTCCCTCATCCCCACCCAAATCTTCATGATTCATCCTTTCTCGCCAGCCCGACGGCTTTTCCTGCACAACAATCATCGGCAGTGTCGAGTACTGCGCTCTAAAGCAAGATGGCAAATTCCAAGTAAATTTTCTATGACATAAATATAGCATGAGAGCCGCTGCTAACCTCCACAGGTATGAATATGTCAAGTCATTCGAGCAACCGGACGCTCTACTCCCCAATACATGGGTTGTGGTCCGGATCGATGGCAGAGGCTTCCACAAGTTAGTGCATCTCCTCTATCAAGGCTTCAGTGTGATGCTGCACTTTCAGTAACTGCTACCAGCGGCTGGATATCAAACTCTTATTCTCGTTAGATGACTCGTCTGCATGTTGCTAACTGAGAGTATGTAGACTTTCTGATTACTACGGCTTCATCAAACCCAACGACCGCCGGGCCCTAGATCTGATGAATGCCGCAGCAGTCGGCGTCATGAAAGATCTCCCTGATCTTTGCATCGCCTACGGTATTAGTGATGAGTACAGGTGCGTGATACGGCATGCGCCTGGTTAAACTCGGGATATTGACTTGAGATTAGTTTTGCTTTTCATCCCAACTGCCAGTTGTTCGAGCGGCGGAGTGCGTAAGTCAACTCCTCTTTCTCCTGCCAAAGATTTATTCCGTGTGGCAGCATGGACTTATACTTCTTGGGGCCGCAGCAAGTTAGTAACGACTATTGTGTCTACCTTCACGGCGCATTATATTTATCTGTGGGGAACGTATTTCCCAGACACGCCGCTGCAGCCAGCGGCACTGCCTTCGTTTGATGGAAGAGCAGTGATGTATCCGAACTCTAGAATTTTCAGGGACTATATGAGCTGGCGGCAGGTGGATTGTGAGTTTGTCGTCTATTTCGCGGCATACATCGCCGTTCAAATTGTTGTGTGCTAATGTGCTGTAGGTCATATCAACAATCTTTACAACACGACTTTCTGGTCCATGGTCCTGCAAGGTGGGATGGATAGGAGAGAAGCTGAATTGGAATTAAAGGTGAGTTTCTGCTTCAAGAGGCGCTACTGGTGCTGGAGCTAACAATGTCGAGTAGGGCACTCTGTCTTCTGACAAGAATGAGATCCTCTTCAAGAGGTTTGGTATCAACTATAACAATGAAGAAGAGATTTATAAAAAGGGGAGCGTCCTCTATCGCCAGGTATTTGTCTCTACTGCCTCGTGTGTATGGCTACTGACCACGGTACAGTATCAACTAGAGGATGTGAAAGCGAATGCGGACTCCAGCGTGCAGGAAGAACCATCGCCATTGCAGGAGGCCACGCCCTCCAAGACACAGCAGGAAAAGATCCGCAAACTACGTCGCAAAGTGCAGGTCGTCGTCGACCATGTCGACATCATTAAGGATGATTTCTGGGAGAGACGGCCATGGATTCTTTCTGGTAAACCCGGAAAGCTGCCTACTACAGAGGCTGAAGTAGCATGATGATATGATGATGAAGAAATAATGAATGATGCAAAAATTGTTCGTGAGAATATACAACCAAGTAGCACAGCCATGGGTATCTTTAAGTCGAATCTATCTATATACTGCCAAAGAGCATCTCTATCCCGTTCGTTCATTTCGCAGACGCCGTCTCATCCTTGGACTTTTTCGACTTCTTTTGCTTCGACCCGTCATCCGACGCAGACGTCTCTCGCTTCGTCTTCTTACTCTCCTTGTCCTTCTTGTCTTTCTTCGCTTTCTTCACCTCCTTCTCCACCGACTCATCCTGACCACTAGATTCCGTCTGTTCCACCTCCGTCGCCGGCGGCGTAGGATACTCATCCTCGGGACCAGTCTCCTTCTTCTTCTTCTTTTCCTCCTTCACCAGCCTCTTCTTCTCCTGCTTCTCCTTCCTCTCCGCCCTTCTAACCTCCTTCTCCTCCCTCCTCTTCTTCCTCTCCTCTCTCCTCTTCGCCCGCTCCTCCTTCCTCTTCCTCTTCTCCTCCCTCCTCACCCGTCTCTCTTCCTCACTTTCCTCTCCCTTCTTCCTCCTCTTCTTCTCATCACTGTCCACCTCCTCCTCCCCAGCCTTCCTCTTCCTACTTCCCCCCTTCTCCTCCTCCTTGTTCTTCTCTTTATCCCCCAAAGTCCCAGGAACCACCTCCCCCCTCACAAAATACCGATACAACTCACTCGTCAACGCATTCGGCGCGCGTTTCGTCTCCCCAGCACTCTTATTCTCATCACCCACGCCCTTCAGCGCATCCTCAAAACCCCGCAACCACCATTGATTCGTAGGATCCTTGGTCGTCTTCTTCCCCACGCCTTGATTGCCTTGGCGTCGCGCAACGAGAATCGGTCGTGTCAGGCCCAGTCCGGCGTGTGTCCCCGGGCGACGGTTCGGGTTAAGTGGGTTGCCGGGTCCGGACCAGCCGTGGCGGAGGAGGTAGGCTTGGGCGTCCATTTTCTTTTATTTCTCTGAGATGTATTTAGGCTGTGTGTGGGATGTGGTAGTAGTTGTTTCGTTGAATGCGACGGACGGAACCTTTCAGCTCATATCGAGCAATCGATCGATCGATGCGGTGGGATGCAAGTATTAAAAAGAGAAGAGAAAGAAAAGGAAGAGAAGAGTCGCTATTGAAAGTACCCCCAAACACACAGGCACACAAGAAAAGAGAAGAACCGAAGAGCGCGAAGGGTTAGATCAATCCTCCGTAGATAGTGTAAGAAGGGAGGGAGATTGGAAAAAAAATCTATCTAATCCAACTCCCACCGGTTGCTTGCTTTGCTTGCTACCGATAAGATAAGTAGCCGGAATTTCATGCCAACAGTTAGTTAAAATTGGGTTGTGGAATATAGACCGAAAAATTGCAAACTTTAAATCACAGTCGCGTGGTCTAATGGTTATGATTTCTCGTTCACAGTTTTCCAAGCACGTGAGCTTGTTTACTTTCCACATCATCATCTTGATGGGGTTCCGAGAAGGTTCCCGGTTCGATCCCGGGCGCGACTATTTTTGTTCTTTTGTTTCCTTATCCTATCGAGCTTGTTATTTGGTTTGGATCTGAGTTTTGTGTCTTTTTCTTGGGGGGGGGGAGGAGAATTCTGCTTGGTATGTTCATGTGCACGATAGTCGAGTATATTTGTTTCAATTAAAACTATACTGTCTAATTTACTAGGCTGGTACGTAATAGTTACTATGTAGTAGGTATGCTATGCTTTGTCGCGTAGTCTCCTCCCTTTCTTTGACTAGTACTAGCACTACTACTTATTAACATGCTGTGACTAGTAGCTACCAGTTATTATGTTGTATACTGTGAATCTATAGGGATACTGATGTTTGCGGTATCATATGGAGTGGAGGGTAGTATTGAAGGTGGTGTTCGATACACTGTGGTACTACTATGAAAATATAAATGTTCAGACCACTCTCTTGATTACTATCAACAGTTGAACAACCACAAATTCTGAGCACCATGCGCGCCTGCTAGGAGACCCATAGAGTTGTCAATTAGTGCCAAGTAATGTCACAATGAACGAGAAGTTCAACTGCTAAGCTAATTCTCGGTCTTTGTATATTCGACACTATATTAACCATCACCACATTTCTCTTCTTGTTGTATGGCATCTTGAATAACTTTACTACTCCGTATGGGTTGATTTATCGTGCCTAGCTACTAACTAGCTAGCTAGCTATAAGTCGATTTATAGTAATGTATTAATAAGCTATAAAAATTCGAATATTATCAAGGAAACGTTAACATATAAGGAAGCCTCCACGACACGGTCTACCTTCACCTACCTAGAACGGTAAGACATGCAGAATTTCCTCCCTAGAAATGGGTGATTTCTTCAGATTGGAAGAGTCTCCACTCCGCCTGTCACCGTCCGCTAGTTCATCGTTCTAGGCTATGAAGGGCGAAGGCGGCATGCACCGCCCGCCTTGCTGTATAAGACGCCTAGTTAAGTAGTTATGGACACGCCAATTGGGTCTCCACTTAGAGTGCAAGACCATCTCAGAGAGCGCAATGAGGACCGTGCCCGCTAAGAAATTTTCAGGAATGAAAAAACTCACTATCAACTCGGAGATTCGTTGTTAATAATACCTCATAACCAATTTGTCTGACCGGACGCGGACCATTTTGTGGCTGTGGCGGTAGCCATTAGTAACGCAAGACTCCAGTCGAAGATGCCATGTGATTTCCTGTAAGTAAGCATCCAGCCATCCTTCTTTTATAAGGTTCAATGGTGAGCCTCAAAACGGGGCTCCTTTGTATGTCAAGCCATGCCTCGCTGATTGGACAGGAACCGTAACAGTAAAGTAGTAGCAGTTTTTCCCGACGGACGGATACTTTCCGCAAGGCAAACAGATGCAAGAGATAGGACGGGAGCTGCGTTAGTTGAAACCCCCTACCTAATAGTGGGTATGATATAGTTACCAAAACCTGAAAGGTCAGTCATCAGAGATCAAGTCTCTGCCAGGCACGGGACCAGAAGTCGGCTGTTTGTTACGATAAACAGACCGCAACTGGTCCCAACATCATCCAACGAAAGGAAGGTCGATTGTTGACGGCCAACGGCCGCTTCCGATGGCCAAACGGTTGGACAAATCATGGGGCAGCAAGTCGTATGGGTTGATATTTCCGATGGGGTACATTGGAATCCGGGCCGGGCGTCGACGGTGGATGATGCCACGACAACTCCATTTTGAAGTCGGCGCATGGGGAGTACCTTGCTTAGAAACCAGCATTGCAGATCTGTAAAGACAGAAGGTAGGTATAGCTCTGGAGTGAGTGTGCATCTAACTACCGGGGCTATCAACTTACTGGTTGTGTAAATAACCCAGAACTGCATGATCGAGTTTAACCTCGATGGGGTTATTTTTCTGGTCGGCAATTGCTGCCACCTAGTTGGATTTTGAAAAAAGGGCCTAAAGTACTAAGCCAGCTAGTATAGTACGTGCCCCGTGATGAATCCCAAAGGAAGGAGGAGATAGCTAGAAAGTCGCAACCCTTTCTCACTCTCTCCGCCTTCTCAGAACGACCATTGGTTGTAAGGCTATGTCGTTTAGGGAAAATAAATGCGAGACTTGCAGCAATGCTGCTGTGCAGAGATCCTTGAGATTCGAGTCGGGTGTAAGTTTGACTTGTCATCGAGCCATGGGACGGTGAGGTGGCCATTAAGGAAGGTACTAATAGCGCGGAGAAGCAAGCGTCAAATATGCCTAGATTCTAGACGCACCCAGTAAGTAATGACTAGATTGCACATCCGTACCACGTACAGACAAAAATAAAGGAAACAACAAATTATGACCTGTATGGTTCCAAGCCATCAGGAAGATAACTACTAAGTTAGAAAGACTAGCAGAGTTCAAAAGAACCAAGAACCGACCAGTCATCAGTGCGCGTGATTAATTGGGGAGAGAGAGAGAGAGAGAGAGGCGGAGGGAGAGGGGGAGAAGTTCCCAAGTCTCCGGTGTATGCAGGCCGAGCAGCTGAACAGCCGGTTTGACCAGGCACCAAGTAAGTACAACGCATAGAAGGATGGTGCATGCATCACCACCATCGACCCGAGAGTCTGGGAAGCGGTGAAACGATCAGCATGGGATTCCTACATTAAGGCAACCGCTTTCCCTTAGGCCAAACGCCAGGCTGGTTCGGGCGCCAAGCGGGCGGGTGACCATGGGATGGATTGGAGGACACATGTACGATGTAAGTAGTATGGAGTACAGGAGGGCCAACTTGCATACGGAGTACATACTACATGCGTCGACCTAAGCACGTAGTGTGCCCGGCTCACGGCGCTGACCATTCCATCCTCCATCCCTCCTCCCCCCCAGTCAATCAGTGAGTCAGTCTCGCTCGTTCGTTGCTCTCTCTTATTTTTGCTTTTTTTGGGAGGAGAGAGAGGCAGAGAGTGTGTGAGCCTTGGGATCCTTTATTTGACTTTATTCTATCCGTTTTCCTTGGTTTAGTTACCTTGGTTCATTTGTATTTTCTTTCTTTTTTTGTCACTTGATTCATTTCATTTATTTTTATTTTTATTTATATTTTTATTTATATTTATATTTATATTTTTATTTTTATTTTTATTTTCTTTTTCTATTAAAACTCCGCCCCTGAACAAGATACATCGTTGTCCAACCGTTCGTGAGGGATCACAGGCCTCAGCTCCAACGCTGATCCAGCGTGTTGTCCTGGTATATTGAGTTCCATGGTGTAGTCCATCTAGGAATAGCTGGATGTAACGTAGCCCCCTCCCAGCCAGCCTCCCACACTTCCACTAAACTAAACTTCAAGTGGTGGGTATGACAACACCACGGAATTTCAAAGAATCCCGACCATAAATGAGGTAGTCCAGAGGAAGAACCCATTGATGTGTTCCGCGAGAGATGTGCAGTAGTGGTGGTGGTGGTGGTGGTAGTTGTTCTTCTTCTTCTTCCCAACATTGCCCCCACCTGAGGAATTATTCCTGATCACCCGCACCGAGGTCCTGATGTGATGAGTATCATGATAATCTCCGACCATGATCCTTCCTGGAACACAGCTTGTAACTAGGTCCTGGACGCTTAAAGTCCATGCCCACAGCCACGGGGCTATACTCAAGATGGAGCCCGAGTGGAACCAACGCCCAGTGTGCGTATAAGGAGGAGTCCCTCTCAGTGTCTAGTCTTTAATTTCTACCAGTGAGATACAATGGATCTAGCGCTAAGAGAGAGAGAGAGAAAGAGAGAGAGAGATACGGAGCACCCTCAGCAAATTAATCCACTCCGGAGCGGCTGCACGCAATGCCGTGGTTTTAGTGACCCTGAACGATGGAGGGTTGGAACGGGTTTTGGTTTGCCTGTAGTGGGCGCTGCGGGCGCTACGGGCGAGGGTTGAAAGGGAAGCACGTCCGAAGCTTCAAATCCTTCAACCAGAGTGTTGGTAACGCTGCCTGACGCTTGCATGCCTGATATTGCGGGCAGCAACCGCTAGGCCCACGGAGATATTGTGCGTTAGTGGCTCCCCCCTCCCCCCCCAAGGAAACTTTCCTGTATTCAACTAAGTGTGGGAGACGGTCCGCATCCCGCCCGGAAGTCACTTGGTCTAAATTTGATTGAGGACCCATCCATGGTTGCTGTCTCCCTCGATCCTGGCTCGTCTCAATCTCTTTGGTTCTCCCCTCACAACCTCCGTTTTATAGCGTCGGGCAAACTGATCCTGCCCTAATCTACTCTCGGCCATTAGACAGATGGCTTCTGTTTAGTTTTTGAGTTTTCTTTTTATTTTTTTTTATTTTTTTTTTATTTTATAATTTTTTTCCTTCTGTTTTTGCTTGGTTTTTTTCCCCCATCCTATCTTCCCATAATTTCCCTTTGTGAATTTTCCTCCTTTGGTATCTACACAGTCGCGCTCACTGTATATCCGGATGATCCCTCATTATTGTGATCACCATTATTTTCCCATCTCTCGTCTGGTTACTGGTAAGACGGATACATACAAGCCGCGAACCGAGGCAATGGCAACTCGTATCAAAACCTCAGGCAGGAAGACGAATAATTGAATCTTCTTTGGCACCGGTTGGGAGGACAGGTGCCATACTAGAGGGACGGAATATCAACGACATGTTCGATACCAATCATTTACCGCCAGCCTCGAACTGGTCTAAGGTATCGATCTGTGTGAGAGTGGACGGGTAATTGGCGACCCGAAGTTAGGTACCCATTTGTGCTTCTTGGCTTTGTGGAAGCGAAACGAAAAGGAGGGAAATACTGGGGGTAGAGAAGAAGTGGTAGATTAGAAGGAGACCGATATAAAGAAATTCAATATTACCCAGTATGGAAAAAGCAAACCAAAAAGAAAAAATACCCGGGAATGGAAGAAAAGAAAAAAGGCAAAGGCCGGAAATACTACGGAGTAGGAAAAGGTAAAAAGAGGGAGACAAAAAGGAAAGGGAGAGGGGAAAAAGAGAAAGAGAAAATGAAAATGAAAGAGGAAAGAAACTGGGAAGAAGAAAGGGAAAAAAAAAAAG